GTAGCTTTATATTTAACTGTACAGATATTTAACTGTACAGGCATGAGAGTCCTTCCATCTTCTTAATTCACTTTAGTCAGGAAGGTGAATTAAGTTTATTTCCCAAAATGTCCAACTTTACCTTTAAGTTTCTACTGAGCAAGGAAGCTTGTAATAGCTTGTAAAAACAGTCCTCATACCTAAACAACAAAACAGGTAATTTGTCAATGCCTCCTAAAATGACAAATATGACGTACCGGACCTTAACTACGTTACGTTAAGTCCTGGGATGAAAGTCACATAAGGTTAAACATGTGGTTAACATTGTGAAATTTGATCAGGATTAGGCAACAAAACTACTAGGTTAGGTTTTGGAAAACCTAAAGTACATTATGTAAGTCATGTAAATCACATGACTTAACTCATACGTTGTAAGTTAGTAATGCTATTTAACTTAAAACTCTAAATAACTCAACAATGACTTGGTTTTACATACATACATCCACCCCATCCACCTCCTTACATGGCCTTTCTCACTCTTTATGCTTGGTCACCTGACTCCCTCTTTTGGTAACATCATACGGCCATTAGAGGTCGTGAGCACAAGAAATGTAAATATGGGTCGTAATAAGATGCTTGAACAAATGACCTATGTGGACATTTTTCTGGTGAGGACAGGCTGGGAATATATGGTCAACCACACAGACAAACAATAGCGCAACAATGTCAAAAAGAATAAAATTTACAATTTACAAAATACATATTAATTAATATAATTAATTATCTTCTTTTTGCAATACATTATTGAAGGTTTATGATGCTTACATTGACTGAAATGTTAAAACTTGTGTGTTTTTTCAATATAGTGTACCAGTTTTGTTGTTTTAAGCACAGCTGTGCAGCAGCTTGCTATGTTGGTCGCCAAGAGGCTATTTATCTTGACTTCCTGACTAACTAACTATAAGCTTCAGAAACTGCTTGTTTGTTTTTGTGTTGTGTTTTGTTTTGTTTATTTTTGTGTTGGGAAATCAGTTACTCATATAAAATGCAGCTTTCACTGTTGTATCATCATAACAGATCAAACTAGAATTAAGTGAGACAAAAAATATAGGCCACCAGAGATAAACTGATATTACTGAAGCTAATATAACGTTCCTAGTTTTTGTGTAACACATAGGAGGATCTGTCTCAGATGAGGAGAGGCAGGCGATTAAAGAAGAATGTTATAAAGAAACTCACAGGTTTGTTTTTTTTATGCATAGCTATTGCCATTTTGGTAACATACATATATGTGCAAGCAATCTTCAGTTTTAAGGAGTTTGTAATTTAGTATAGTGATAACAGATGTGCAGAAATCCTCAATTTCCCTTTTGAAATGAATCTGTCAGCCACTTAGTTTATATACCATGTCATCATATTTATAGTAGTAGATAGTATATTTTAAATGATTTTGTTAATGCTTTGCAAGCATGAAGCCAATCTGAACAAGAAATATTTAACTTTAACTTCAATTAAAGTCTAAGTCTATTTGTTTGTTTCTGTTATTACCATGGGAAACACGTTTGTTAGAATTTCCTTTCCAAATGTCATCTTTCTACAGGTCATTGCGGGGTTTTGGATACATTTTGAGGACTTCCTGTGCCTTGGTCCAGTGACAAGAGTAGCTCTATCAACCCTCTCTATTCATTCACGTTAGCATGGCTTTTAAAAGTGGGATCAATCAGAGCTATTCATTTTCATAAATATTTTTATTCTAAATAACAACCCCCATCTCACTTCTTTGATTACAGTGCAATGCCGATCTGAGGCCTTTAAAATGCATTAATGGCTAGCAGATTTGCATTTATATTGGTTTTTCACTCAGGCACACAAGAACCTGAGATACAGCTTTGTGAACAAAGACCAAAGAGAGAACACACATCATCTGAAACACATTCGACCCCATAATAGAGTACAAGCCACAGAACGAGAGATGCTAGTGTGAGCAAAACAGGCCATCGAATTTCACCACTAACTGAAGCACACATTGATACACATTATTCTGCTGAAGGTCTGATACAAGAGCAGTATGCAGCCTGCAGTGAAAGTGGCTATCTTGTGACTGATGAATACCATACATGCATACGATAACAAAAAAAGGAATCCAGTTTGAAGATTGCAATCAGCAGTGACGCAGTGGTGATGATCACTTATACAACACACTCCAATAATTTCTTTAAGAGACATAACTATAGAGGGAAGGGATAATTGGTGCCTTGCGGTGTGTCTTTCCCCTTCGGACGACTGTGACCTTTTCAAAGCACTAGACAAGAGGTTGGCACTTCCTAAAATCTGTGTTTATTCTTCAAATTAGGCGCAGGGCCCATGTTATTAAAGATGGGGCAGATTTGTTTGTTGCCGATCAGGTTGGTATTGTCCATGCAGCGTGCCTCCGAGGTAATCTCTCTTGATAAGAGAACCCGAAAGGAATGGATGCTTTGTCTCTCTGCAAATCTGATTCAACCACTTTCCACCACTAAATCGTCGAGGCAGAGAAGGTCCCCGGGGAAATTTACAAAGCGATTCAGTTCTCATTGCTGGTTAGAGTAGAGCACGGCTGGGCAATCATGTGCCGAGGAGGACCGAGGGTATGTATGATTTCATTCCAACCAAACACTACACCAGCTGATGTCACTGATTTCCTCACTCTCTTTGGCTGAAGATGTACCAATCATTCAAATTAACTGGTAGTCCAGGTTGGGATAAAAATCCTTGGAAAACACTTGAACCCTTAGGGGAACATTTTACACCCTTGCATCCAATACTGTATACAATTATTTACTAAATGTGTATTCCATGCTCAAAAGCATCTTTCATTTAGTCCACTAATACAGTCATACAGTGCAGTGACCTGTATTACACATACTGTATAATATAGTTGGATGTGTTTGTCATTATTTGAGGGGAATAACTGAGAACATAGCTACAAAAAGTAAAAGAAATCTATCAAACTTCACTTTGTCTGACAATTCTGCAGATGTTTGACAAATGTCAGTGTGGATTGTTGTCATTTAATTTTGAACAAGAAATACATTTTACACTCAATTGTAAAGATTTAATGGTCCTGTCATGAGGAAAGAGATATCTAGCACTGACGGCTGAATTTGATGCCACAAATGGTTTGTTAAAAGGGAGAAACACCAGGAGCCACCTGGGCCCAGCACCGTTCCCAGCAGCACCTAACATGCAAACACACTCTCTGTTTTAATAAATCACTGCCGCATCGCAGACAGTACTTGATGGCGGTACAGTGTCTGTGGAAAGCGGCTTCAAAGTTCTGCCTCTGAGATTCATGTCTCTGTGCAACATCCCACTCTGTCAAGTTACACATTATGCAAATGCATTGTTTACTGTTCGTGTGACAATATCAAGGCACAAAAGCCAGTGGGGACTGGGGGCTGTGGCAAGTTACCAAGCGAGATGGAGGAGAGAGACAAAGAGAGACCAAACTCTGTGAAAGAACTGCCAAAGGAATATGGCAAATAACTCTCTTACTGTCTCTCAGTCTTTCTGTACTTCTGAGTAAGCAGACTGCAGAGGGATGCAAGGAAATCAAAGCACGTCACTCTGAGAAAGAAGGTTTCTAGCTATCTAATTTCTCTACCTCTGTATGTGACACATGAGGGGATGTGCAATGCAAAGCTGCAAAGCAAGATTTGAGGTGGAAAATATATACCAGTCCCTCCAGCATTTCGCAATCGCAACTATCACAAATAACAAATTCAACAAATCCCTGTGAATTCAGCGTGACTTGCAATTTTGACCAATCACTACAACGTTTCCCGCAAATTTGACCTGTCATTGCTGTTTCTCGCAAAACGCTGTCATACATAAGCAATCTAGCTTTCTTCTTTACAAGACGTAGCAGACATGTGATAGCAACGTCTCACATTTGCCTACAAAAACAACAGCAAAGGGCTGTGAAAAACAGTGTCTAGATTTTCTTTACAAAAGTGGGGATCAACTGTTTAGCATAACCTTGCAGTATTGTGGTTGAACACAAAAGGAAATTGTCTATTGACCAACACATAGCAGAACCGCTGGGGGACGTCAGAGAAGCAAATCACTGTGACACAGGCTGTTGCATCTCGGTCATTTGCGCTGAACTAATCAAGGTAAGCTGCTAAATATATGTCCTGTTTGCATAACACTGAACTATGTGTGGGTGTGTGTGTGATTTAAGAACAACAAAAAAGAAGTCTTGTGTTTAAACAACTTTGCCAAGTATTATTAACTAAATATAATTCTAAACTTTAAAAAAATCAAATCTACTTAGTTTTCACTTATTCCCACAATTTGATTGCATAAAAAGCAGAAGAATTTTTGAGATTTTTTAGAAAACTTTAGCATTTTAGGCCACAACAATCACAAAAAAGACCTGAGAAATCCTGGAGGGACTTATATACCATGTTGCAGTTATTTCCAAAGGCTAAAAAAATAACCCTGGCCATCAGAGTTTTGTTGGCTTGGGCTTGGAGACTTGTAGTAAGACATGTGAGTTCCAGGCAGGAACACATCTGAATTGCATTATGATAAGTGTGGCATCCAAACGTTATCAACAATCAAACCCAGATAAATTTTATTCAAGGAAACACTGCATTTTCATTTGGTCGCCTGTCAATGGCGTTATATCCCCATTATCCCATCCAGAGACTATAACTCATTCAAAGAAAACTGCACCTGCCAATACTATCTGTCAATAATAGCAGTGACTGCAAGGACAGTACTAATTACTAACAAGCTGACTAATACCAGTATGTGACTTGGAACGGGTAATAGCAAAGGAAAGTGAAAGTCCAAGCAGAGTACTGTACTGTGCTGAGAGTGGCTGCAAGTAAATACAAAAAGTACTCACTTGATAGGTTAAAAATGTACACAGAGCAGCTTTTTGCAACTAAAATCTCAAAATAGAAAAACCATTAAAACTAACAGACTCTTGAAAGGCCTGTGTTGCAGCACTACTCAGGCTGAAAGTTACTCACCTATAAATTTTATATCTGGTCGTAAATCCTTGGCGGAATCTTTCCACAAAGGACAGATAACTCCGAGAGTGGTGGAAAGGTCCACGGTCAGAGATGAGCCAGTCATATTGCTTGGTGACATGTTGTTCAGTGGCCAACGGGTCCTGGCGGGAAGACTGAACTGTTATATGGTCCCATATAAACAGGAAGCAGATGACCTCAATAAACCTCCAGTTCATGCTTTTTTTTAAGCCGCTCTCTGTTCATTCTCGCTCCATTATGTGGAGACCTGATGGGAGAGAAAAGAAGAGGGAAGGGGGGAGGGAGACAGAAAAAGAGAGCTGTTACATGACAAAGTCTATTTTAGCAGTACAAGAAGATGTCGTAGAGTTAGGTTAATTGTGTTGTACTGAACAAATAAGATAGTGCCCTTGTCATTGTCACTTTACTGTGACATGATGTGTATTTATTTTCTGCTCTTTCTCAGATTGTTCACCCTTCATGCCTCCCTGGAGTTTTTCAGAAAGCCACACAGATTGTGCCTCTCCACACAAGAACTGTTACTCTTTTGCAGATGAGCATGAAGTACAACCTCAGCTGTGTGGCTGTCTTTCTTTTTTAAAGCTAATTGGTGTCATGATAAGTTCTGACAAGGTTAGAAGACTGCTTTATGATATGTTATGACACCCAGCCACTAATGTGGAAGAGCACCATCTCCCTTTACCCAGTGGTGTCAATTACTGCTGAAGGAAACTTTCAACTATTGACTTGTGACTTCATGAATTGTTAAAAATAATGTGATACAAAATTTTGCCTTTTTCATCAAATCCAAAGTAAGTAACTCAATTTGGATCCACTAAAGCTGGATGGGAAATACAATTGTATTATTGCCATACATAATGGCCCTATAATACTAGCCATGACCCTGTGTCATATAAATATTTTAGAGACAATGCCCTTAAAAAAAGACTGGACACACAGATTAGCAAAGTCTGGCCTGGACTGGGCAACATACAGTACATGTAACTCATGCTAAGAATACAGTTTGAATAAATTCTTAAATATTATACATTACAGCATAATATCCCATTCATTTCCATTGCAAAATCTCTATTACAATGCAAAAACACACATTTAATGTTACATCATCAAAAAAGAAATCAGAAAATTAAAATGATACATTTCCTCATAGTGCATTGACTGCAAACATTATTATCCACTTGGCAGTGAAATTATGTCTCTTAGTTAGTGATAAGGAAATGATTTCCATCAGTAATTGCATTTAAGAACTTTGGCCCCTGGCCGTGCAGCACCCAACAGTGTACTATCAAGTGTGACTGCATGCAAAAATTCTACCCCTTTTCATGGTTTATTAGACAATAACACATCATAAAAGAGCAGGGCAAATTTAATGGCACTAATCTTTTCCTGTTAAATAGATGATGAACTGCATGATTAAAAAAGTTAAAGAAATCACAGTGGCATACTTAAAGGGAGATTTTTTTTTGTCACATAACGGTTAAAATGAGTGTGTCAGTTTCTTGTGATGTCTTAAATTAATTTCATATTTTATTATTTAAACACTGCTTCACCTACTTGCTAAAAGACCCAGAACAATCGGCATAATTTGATATCTCTACTTATGTAACTAATTATAATCATACTGCCATATTTCAAATATAATCACTTCTTAAAACCGATAATGAAATTTCAACTATCAACTGTGAATACTGTATTTCAGCTATATTTGCATATTTGACAGAAGGAAAACAAGTATTTTTCCCCCTATCAACCAAATACTCAGTGGCAATGTCAAAATATGACGGTGCTCTTAGGTTTTAGGTTAATAACGTAAAACTAATTCGAGCCTGGCTGTCAAAATTAAACAATACATAATCTGATAAAGAGGGACAATGCCGAGCAGGGGATTTATAATATGCCTTTGTGCAAAGACAGGGTGTAAATGTTTGAGAATAAGAAAATATGAAAATGTAGCTAATGTGTCAGCAAAAAAAATCTAAAATTTATAACAATTGGCTTGCTTTATTGGCTGACATTTAGTAGCCATTAATGTTTTCGAAAAGTAAAAAACAAAAATGAAATAGCCGCAACCTGTATTTAGAGGAGTTCAAGCACAATATGCTAATATATGGTGAAGATACCGTTTGGGAGGAAAACAGCAAGAGAACACTTTTTGAAACCTGAGTAGATTTGCTCAAAGCAATGTTTGGATGTGGGCACTGGAGATGAATGTGACCCACTGATATATGTATGTTACTATATAATATTTGTGCATGTATGCAAATGCTACATTATCCATGTAAGCACTTAATACTGATGATTGATTCTAAGCAGTGTTTGACTTAATGTATTGATTTCAACGAATTACCTCACTCACTGACTATAGAGTTCACTATTGATATCTTGTTGAAATCTTCAGAATGTTACTATGAGCATTTAGAAGGTTGAATGGAAGCTTATTTATTCTCACAACTTTTTAACTACAAAAGAAATCTATGAGAGGACAATTTCTTTAATGCGGTGTACATTTTGATTATATTTTCATCAATCATGGCACAGTTTCTTATTATTACACTTTTTCTCTCACTCACTTTGGTACATTTCTCGAATCATCCCTAACATTTACAAAACAGTAAGTGCATTTCTTGAAAAATATCGAACAAACAGCGCAAAACAGTGGATTACCTGCAAAAGCCCGTAACGTCCTTTTTACATTTCTCTATGCATTTCTGCCTCATTATGCAAATGAGGAGGGGCTGTGTTTCAAGGGGTCAACTTCTCGCCTATTTACTTCTCGAACCACATGGTCAGCTAGGCACCGCTAAATCTGGAGTGCACTCGTATTTAACCCTTTATGGTAAATGCAATTGTAACGGAGCACAGTGAGCTGACAGGCAGGTTAGAGACTTTATTCTGTCAGTTTCTCTCTTTACAAAGTGTTGCACTCTGACAGTCATATCTGAAGAGAGGCTATCAAATCTCAATTGCACGTGATGCGAGCACCACAAACAACCAAATGTATCAAATTACACAAAATTTGATACACAACATCAGGTTTTCAAAACAAGGTGTTAACACAACGTGTATGCAGTATGAAAATAACGTTAATTGGATTATACAAAACATGTTACATGTGTCCAATAAAATAAAAACCTACTAAAAATTACTTTATTGTTTAATTTTGGTTGGCTGGCAGTATTTGTGGACAGATACATCCTGGAGTTCATTGACAGTGTCTACAATAAATGAACATTCAATAGTGATCATCAGCAGATCAGCTGCTTGCCATTTATCAGTTCACCCTCAAAGACACCTTTGGATGTAAAGACAACTACTTTAGCATTAATGAAAACTATACTGTAGTATAATAATAAACTAAGTTCAATAAATATAAATGATTTTGTCCTAGGATTTATTATAAATTTATACTACTTCATTGCATAATTTAAAATAATAAGTTGAGAAACAGGTCTGTTCATTCATCATCCTTCACTGCAACTGATATTAAAACCCACAATCCCATCTGTCACAATAGTGAGTGTAAAAATGTTTTTCATTTAGGCAGTCTGGAACAGAAAACAACTTACCAACCTCAAGTTATACAGTAATATAGTAATGTCATATGTGTATGAAGGTGGATCAAACACAGTTAATCTTAAATGTTAAAGTAGAGAGGAGCCTAGTAGGCCTATTTATTTTCATTCTTTACACATTACACAAGATGAATAAGCTATGCAGATAGTTGTTGATCGTTCTCCACTTGTTATCCTGTAGTTACACAGTAATATTAGGGGTGTGGGCTGTATTAAAAGTAGGCTATCCACTGTTCTCCAATGCTCTATATTCACGCAATAACAATGAGATATGCTGTTCTCCCATTCTTCCTCTGTATCTACACATACACAACAAGGCATGTAAGGGGGAATATAAAGGGAATTTATTTTATTGTTTTTGGGTTATCTTCTGTGGTGCTCTTCTCCTCCTCCTTCTTCTTTTCTTCTTATCCTCTGACAAATATGCTTATGTCCGCCTCATGCCTCCTCCTCTGTCTTCTGTGGAAGACATAAAAGAACAGTAACTATCCATCCATCCATCGTCAACCGCTTATCCTGCATACAGGGTCGCGGTGGGCAGGAGCCTATCCCAGCTGGCATCGGGCGGGGTACGTCCTGGACAGGTTGCTAGTCCATCACATGGTCACACATAGACGAACAACCACTCACGCTCACACCTAAGGACAATTTAGGGTCACCAATTAACCTAGCCCGTATGTCTTTGGATGGTGGGAGGAAGCCGGAGCACCCGGAGAGAATCCACGCAGACACGGGGAGAACATGCAAACTCCACATAGAAAGGCCGGGGCAACCAGGGTTTGAACTCATGACCTTCTTGCTGTGAGATGACAGTGTTAAGAACAGTAACTAGCCTACATTAAATCATTTCACCTGGTAAAGTGCAGTTAAGTTAAGTTTAAATTGACTCCATTACCACACATAAAACATGGCTTAATAGCAATCACATTTAACAGAAGCATAAAATTCGGCTTATTAGTAACTGTCAACATTAGTACTCATAGTATTTCTTACTCACCGCTGGTTAAGTCACAGCATCCCCGTCACAACACCACGGTTGAACTTTCAGCCATAATGGACGTTTTGTTGAAACCTTTTCATATACAGTCCATGGTTGAAACTAGCAGCTGGTAGCAGCGAAGCAACACGTTGCTCCGAGTCGAAGCATTTACCGTAAAGGCTCAAATACGATTGCACTCCAGATTTAGCTGCGCCTAGCTGACCATATGGTTCTTACAAACATTGGCTCACTTTCTCGCAGTTCTGTGTCCGTGCATTTCGCTTAATGAAACCTTTGTAGGTCAGCGCGTCCATGCAAAAAGAAGGATGGCGTGGCTCGTAGTATTGTCTTCAAATAGAGTTGCTAAACACCTTAGTGCACTGAAGGAAGCCATCTCTTAGGACTGCTTGAGGTGCAAGCTTGTCGATGTGTGTGCATGTAGAGTTTTGCCGTCTGACTGGTCCACCAATAGGCGAGAAGTTGACCCCTTGGGACACAGACGCTGATCTGGCAGAGGTGCGCCTGTCTCCCGTGTGCCCGCCTCCTCCTGCATGCCGTCTCACCTGCGTGCCGCCCCGCTCTGCATCGGCAGCCGCGTGTGACCGTGCGTGCGCGCCCTGGCGCACCCTCGACCAGGTGAATTAGATTGAGCAATCAGAAGCTCGCACACACTTCAATCAGCGGGAGCATATAACG